TATGTTATTCTGCCTTTTGGATGAGCGGAGAAAATGTGATGATTTGGAGTTTTCTTCAATGGCTTATAAAATGAAAGAAAAATTTGATAAGCATTGGGGAGATCCTTCAAAAATCAATAAATTGATGTTTGTGGCTACTATTCTTGATCCTCGGTATAAGCTTGAGTGGGTGCAATATTCACTTTGTAAGATGTATTATAGTGAGGTTGGACAGCAAGTTGGAAGGCAATTGAATGATTTGCTCATTTCTTTATATAATGAATACAAAGAGCGTGTCTCTCCTTCAAAGCAAGTTGAAAAGAAGTAATTATTTAATTGCTATCAATCTGATGAAGATGATGACCCAGCTATGAAAGTTAAAAAAATTCTTGAACATGAAAAGAAAAAATTCATGAGTGAAAGGCTTGATGAGAGAACTAGTAGGACAGAAGTTGACAAGCATTTGGCTGAAAAAATTGAGATGGATAAAGATGATTTTAATATTTTAAGTTGGTGGAAGTTGAATGGGCCTAGATTCCCCATTCTCTCTCAATTGGCAAGGGATGTTTTGGCTGTCTCAATTTCTACTGTTGCTTTTGAGTCTACTTTCAGCACTGGAGAACATGTGCTAGATTCATTTAGGATCTCCTTAACTCCTAAAGTTGTGCAATCTCTTGTTTGTGGTCAAGATTGGCTTCACCACTCACTTCTAGTTCTAGTAAAAAAGAAGATAGATGATGCACAAAAGATTGAGAGAGGTAATTTATTATGTGTTATATTGTTTTAAATTTAATTAAATGATATTAATATTAAATACTTTATTTATGTTTAGATCTTTAAAAAATTGCTATAGAAGTAAATGTGGATGTACTATGAGCCTTTATTCTTAATGACTTGAGGTAATTATTTTATATGTTAGCTTTTTTTCTATAATTTTGATATAAAATTCATTAATAATTCTTGGCTTCTTATATGATTTTTACTTGTGTAATGTAGGTTGCAAGATGCTAGTGCTATGGTACTCCATTTACGAAGGCTGCTCATTTTATTTTGCTTTACTAATCTGGATATTTGATTATTGTAATGGTTTAATTTTAATATTTTGAAGACTTATTGGTTTCTATGACTGGATTATATGGCACATGTGTAATGATTGGATTATGGAGTGTTTGGTTTTAGCATAGCTATGATTAGATTAAAAATATATGATTGTGCTATGATGTAACTTACATGTGTCTGTTTTGTTGGATTGTGACTGGATTAAAAATTCTGTCAGCAAGCATATGTGATTGGATTAAAAATTTTGTCATCAAGCACATGTGATTGGAATGAATTAAATCAAGAAGAAAATTTTGGATTGTGCTATAATCCAGTCACAGGCATACTGTTTTGTCTTTTATTTCATCACTCACGTGTCTGTTTTGTTACAATCATATATTTAGCATGGTTGTGACTGGATTATGGGGCCATTATTTGATGATCTATGGCTATTTATTTGTAGTTGTTTATTTGATCATCCATGCCTTTATAATATTTGGGCTTTATATCATATGGGTGTAATTAAAATGGGCTCATATTGCAAAAAACAAATAGAAAAAAGGCCCAATTTTGTAGTGTTGTTTTGTTTTAATATTTTAAAAAATGGGCCCAATTTCAAGTAGCCCAATATGAAACCAAAAAACCGAATTAACCGACCAAACCGAATTATCAAATTTCGGTTTGGTCCTTGTTCGGTTTGATTGGTTTGTTCAGTTCGATTTGGTTTTCATTTTCAGTGTTGTTCGGTCGATTGGTTATGCATATTTTGTTACCGAACCGAACCGAACCAACTGAAGCTCACCCTTGATTGCAGTGAAGTTTAAGCTTTACTCAAAATTCTTATTGCTAGAATTTTAATTTGCCCTTAAGTTCTCTTATAGTTTTAGGCTTGTGAATCCAACTTCTTTTTCTGGTTAAACAATCGATATAGGTGTAACAACTTATGTCATCAGATTTTCTAGTTGTGATATCATTTTGGCTCCTGTAAAAATATACCATCTCTTGTTTAGGATTCGCTTGCACTTGAATTATTTATGTGTTGGGATGTTAAGTGTGAGTTAACTTGGTTTAATGTATGGAAAAGTTCCACATCGGATAAAATTGGGTTAAAGAAGAGATAGATCTGTGGAAAAGATCTATAAGCTCAATGCCTTAAAGTTTTGAGTTAAAATATAGTGTCATACTATGTGTCCTCTTGGAATTGTTTGGTGACCTAGCTGTGTTTTTCCCCTTTCTGAGATGCTCTCTATGAACTATGAATTTAATGTCATTTTGTATAACAAACATGTATGATCAATGACTTGAGACTTATAATTCAAAGTATTATTATGTAGAGTTATTGTTTCAGGTATTGTTATACAAGCCAATGAAGATCATCATTTGTATGCCTTTGACAATCATTTGTAACCTTTCGGTGGTTGGGATTATAAAACACCCTTTGGAATACTTGTTTTTCTCACAAGAGAATGAGCAATCGAAAACAGAAATTGTTGATCTCAAGAAGCCAGCCTTGATGGAGGAAATTGCGATCCCTTGTGTTACAGAACTCTCAAACTTTGGAATCTGTTTCTCACCCACTAATAATGGAGAAATTTGTAGCATCAGATTTGATAAAGAAGCAGCCACACTTCAACTTCCCACAATAGCCACAGACATCAACAGTCAAGTGTTGATTAGAAACTTGGCTGCTCATGAAGCGTCAATTACAATGCAGTGGCAGGCCACTTGTTTTCATAAGATGCATAGAATTGGTGAATGGGATTATAGATTTTGAGGAAGATGAAAAGATTCTGAGAGAAAAAGGGATTGTTTTAAACCATTTGAACAATGATGAACAAGTGGCTAACCTGTGGAATGGGACAATCATGTCCATTAAATTGACGAAAGTACCATTATTGGATAAGATCATTGAAGATGCGAACAAGACTATTAGATGATTCAGTAGTGGAGTAGTATACAAAACTCATTTTTCACCAAGCATCTCGTTTCTTCTATATGGTTACAGTGTATTGTGGTTGGACTCGGTTGTATGATTTGGTTTCATGACCTCACAGTTCATTGCTATGTGAAGTTCTTCATTGATATTCATTCTGGATTTGGTTTGGTTTAGGATGATTGCCATTAGTATTGGAAACGTATTTAGTTGAAATTAATAAGTTTAAACTCAAAGTTTGAAAAAAAAAAATTGTTTCTGATTTCTGATCATAATGGTTACCACTAATTGATTGAAATTTTCCCTTTTGAAATGATGAAGAACAATTACTCATAGATCAATTTTAACAAAGTGCATAAATTGTGCAAAAATAGGAATAATAGACAAATATAAATGATCTTAAGGACCAATAGAGAGGATAGGAAAGATAATGAACAATCATTCATAAATTATCACCACAAAAATGAATGAATGAAGATTTTAACGAAGATTTTTGGTTGAGGATTTTAATATATCCTTGCAGTAAAGTTTAAGCTTCACTCAAAATTCTTGCTGCTCGAATTTTAATTTGCCCTTTGGTTCTTTTCTAGTTTTAGGCTTGTGATACTTGTTCTTGGACATTTAGAATGCCACATTGGACCCTGACGAATTGGATTGGATTATGTATTTCGACTTGCTCATGGTGTTGGGCTTGACTGTTTGACTGAAGGGTTGAAATAAATATGCTTTGATTAATAGAAATTTGAATTTGATCAATTTTTTTATTTGCATATATACAAATTTATAGATTTGAAAATTCATTTCTTATTATATTTCCTTTATAATTTTAAACTATATTTACATATATGCATTCAGACATTTGAATTTTTAATACCTTCAAGTCTCTTGTTTTATTTGTGTTTTCACTAATGAGATCTCTTTGACTCCAGTATTTTTTTTTTTAATTTTTGGTTCTCATCTCTCATTGATTAAAAATAGAGGTAAATTTATCACTTTCAACTTTTCATTTTTGTTTCAAATCTTAACCCATCTCTTCTTCATTTGAATTTTTTAAAACTACCTAAATAAAGAATTTCAAATACATAAATTTTAAGTGTAAGATTTGAAATATATTATTTAAAATTTAAAATTCAAATCTAAATCCATCAATCCAAATAATACTTAACCTTACGTATGTCTTATGAATATGCCATCTTCCTGTTGTTTGTTCCTGTCGTCTTTTCAAGAATGCATTTAACTGTGAGAAGCAAGCTCACATTTAAAGGGAAAAAAACGGTTTAGTTAGTGGTCAAGTTAGCTTAATATTCTTTGCTTTTCATCAAAGAATAATCAATTCTTAGAATTATAATCAAATATATTTAATTATTATATATCTTTAATTTAGAGATGATGTCCTTTGATGTGGATATATATAATGTTGAATAATAGCAAGGATTTTCATCAATGTTAACCACAACTCTAAAGATTGATGATTTAATTAATTAAAAAAAATATTTATAAGGCCTTCGGCTCAAGTTAACCATAATTTTATTAAGGACCAGAACTTATGTTTTATTTATTTTTTTCCTCTTCACACTTGAGCACCTTGTCTTCACAATTTAACAATCTTCAAAATTCTTGGTCAAGAAGTTCAATTGCATCATGAATATTCGGAATATCAAAGGTGTGGGACCCTCCAAAAGTCGAGCTTCCAGTTATTGATAGATCATGATGGGATAGATTTTCATATAGTAGTAAAACAGCACAGCAACGAAATCATAATTTCAAATGACTTCATTAAGATACAAAGCTGAATAAAAGAAAAGAAGACGAACAACATCCATGAATGGTTATGATTGAAGGTTGCAACAACACAATCCTTCACTTGAAAGATTTAAAACAACAATTCATCTAAAGGTGAAATTCAAACACAATGATGTGGCCCTTTATATAGATTTAGAGATACCAACTAATTAATTAGGTGATTAAAGACTTATGAATAACATCCTAATATTCCAACAGTAGCTGGAGCTGTTGATAACAAAAGAGATGAATAGTTGTGAGAAGAATATATATAATATGGAGATAAAGTGATAAAGTGTTTGATCAGAGAATAAGCTTCTCAGATTCTCTATTGCTGGACTGGGGTCTCTCGAACAAAATAGCTCTCATAAGATCGATGTAGAGGGGGAACTGAGCAACGCCAAAGAAAGTAATAGGCAAGATAGTGACGGCATAGAGTGGGAAAACAACCTGCTGGAGGTGTTCCCTGAGCAAGAAGAAGAATGCGGAAGAGAAAGAAACCAAGACAGAAGCGATGGACACGAAGAGGCAACTCAACCCCAAAAGAACTTTGAGAGGCAAATCTTTGCGGAAATCTCGAGGTTGCTGGCGAGAAGTGAGGATGGAGAGGAACATGACGAGAGAGGTGATGGAGCAGGAGAGAGCCAAGAGGGATGTGAATGCAAACAAGTTGAAAGCCGGGTGGCGCTCCAAGTAAGGTTTGCCGGTCTCCTCCTGAGTACCGCCGGGGATAGTGGTGGCCGTGGCGAAGGCCACGCCTGCAATAAGCGCAGCCACCACGGAGCATGATTCCGACGTGCTCTTCAGCCACCCAATGCCTTCATCGAGCAGATCCTTGTTATCACGTACGAAAATGTCCTGCGGTGTCTCGTTGCTCTTGTTTTTGAGGAATTGCATGTGCTGCGGCATTTTCTCCTTCATAAACTAGAAATACAAGAAATTAAAGCTCACGTCAATATAAACATGCATGCATTGCATGACATGAAACCATGCATGGATTGAATTAATTTGATTGAGGAGGAGGAAGAATATTAGAAATGATACCAGAAACCATTTCACTTCCCACTGCATTTGCAAGGCAGAACCAGCAATATGCCAGGGCTTGTAATGCGAGAGCTTGGCGGCCAAGTGGAGGATCGTGTTGCCGTCTTTGTCCGCACGTCCCACGTGGCTTTCCCACAACGTATTCTCATTCAGGTACTTCTCCAGATGATCAAATACATGTGGTTGCCTGTTCTCCACAGTCACATGCAATACATTTTGGTCTAGCAAGTTTGTTTCGTGGATCGCCCCTGGTTTATATTTCAGAATTTTCTTCAATATTTCCAACACCCCATTTTTCGCTGCAACAAACAATGCCGACTCATTTCCCCCTTCATTTTCCTCCTCTTCATCACACCCTACAAATCAGTCCAATCAATCTATGGGCTATGACAGCGGATTATTCTTCTTTCAAGTTGAGAATTCATGAATTTCAAGAAATTTTCCGTTTCAAAGAAGAGATTAAAGATTTCAAGTTTTATAAAAGAAAATATTAAAAATAATAAATTCATGAATCTGAAGTTCAAAGGATTTAAGTCCATGGGTTATACATATATAACATTTCATTTATGAATATATATAGGAGTCCCACGGACAAGCAATAAAAAATATATTTTTAACATAAAAATAATTAATAAATATTTAAAATTAAATATACATTTATTTTTTATACAACTCACATAGGCTCAGGCAGCATCTGGTTAAATTCAAGCTTCCAGATCCATTACCCTTTCTTTTGCACAAGGGTGTGAGCTTGTCCAACTTGCTGGTGTTTTGAAACGTCAGTTCTGTCAGGAAGAGAGGAGAAAAAACACTTCTGAGACTGTCTTTCATCATCTCTTAGCTCTCATTTCTCATATCTTTATTTCTTTCTTGTTAATTTTTTAATGAATATTTCACTAGACAATGCTCCCTTCGAACCAATCAGCCAAAATGTGGTAACCTGGGTTGGCAAAATGGGAGACCATTTAGAGACAGGTTACCCACACCGCTTAGTTCCGAGCTTGCCACGGACTAGTCCACACAGCCTCCTTTTAGATATTATTTTCTCCCAATATAACCAGAATAGTTCTTTGAAAAAGATTTGTTTCTTTAATAATAAAAAAAGTATGCAAATTAGATGTGAGAAAGTAACTTTAATGATAAAAAATGTCAAAGATTAAAGAATACTCCTTGAAAAAAATATTTATAATACCATTCCCTCCTTCCTTTATTATTACAAGACACTTTCTATTACCAATAGTGATATATATATTTGTATATGTATACCTCACACACACTGTTTTCTCAACAGGGGAAGAGAGGGAGAGTAATTTCTATTACCAATACTTTGCTTGTTCTGTTTGCCATCAACACTTCGTTCCCCCTTTTGGTTCGCATTATCACCTGCAATTTGCCCAAATTAAAGTGTTTTCCATATGCACAATCAATAGTGATATATATATATATATATATATATATATATCTCACTCTCTCACACAGTTTTCTCAACAAGGAAGACAGGGAGTCATTTATACTACTACCTATATTTTGTTGGTTCTGTTTACCACCAACACTTTGTTCCTTCCCCCTTTTGGTTTACATTATCACCTGCAATTTGCCCAAATTAAAGTGTTGCAATGTATGCATAATCAATCGTGATATTTATTTTTAGGATATTTTATTTTCTTGAATGTAATAATTGTTAGTTAGAAAGAATAAGTGTAGTTTGGATAACATCCAAGGAACAGAAGCCCAAAAAGTTCATAAAGGTGTATTGGATATGATCTATTCATTAATGTTGGGCATAACTTATTTAATAAGAAGTACTCCCTCCATTTCAAAATATAAGCATTTTCTCTCAGCTATTTTGATTCAAAATATAAGTAACTTAATACATATAAAAATTATTTTTTTCATTTTATCCCTTATATTTATTAATTTAGATCCTTGTGTCAAATTATCTTAATTCATTATGAGGTGCATTGGTGATTGGGACTGAGAGTAAAAGAGGGAAAACAATATATATATGACTTTATTTGATATGCAAATTTTTGCTAAAAACTGTTTATATTTTAAACCTGAAAGAGTCTATGCTATAGCACATAATTTACTTTTTCGATCTGTAAACCATTTTGGTGGGTATATAACTTGAGTGGGACACAATATCTCTTCAAAAACTAGAAATTATCTCGGCAAAACCAACTCATTTAAATAGGTAGTCCATTAAGCATCTCTTTCTACTCAACGTGTTGTGTAAAGATTAAAGAAAGGTTTAAAAAAAAAACAAAGAAAAGATCAATATCTCCATGACATATAATGATGGGTGGGTGAAGAGCGAAAAACCTTTTCGGCCATCGGTCTTAGGATCAGGTTTGGGTATCCTATAGGCTTTGACACCACCTCCAACATATGCTACATCTTTATGCCTCCAAATTTCATCCAGTATTTGACCGCACCAAACGTACTTTTCTTTCTTCTTCCGACAATTCTTTAATAATCCTTAATTAATATAAACAGCCACAAGTGCATATAACAGAGAATTAAAAACACTATCAATTATGAACAGAACAGTTTGTTATTAGGTACAGAAAGAGAGAGTACTGTACCAAAGACAGGCCAAATAATAAAACGGGCGAATGCCATGAAAGTGTCACAACATGTCCGATAATTTTTTGGAACAACATTTTCACGTTCATAGATGTAATCACTTGGGTTTTCTGCATCCGCTATGCTTTCGGGAACAGCTATGACAAGACATGAACTTTGTTTATTTTTCAGATCATAATTATAAAGCAAAATTAAGATAAACAAAATAATTGCTTTTCGTAAACGTGAACTTGCCAGTCTGCTGGGATTCTGTTGGACATGATTTTGACTGATGGTTGGTGCACCTCAACGGTTTCACGAATATACCTTCCGCATGAAAATGGAAAATATTTAAATATAAACAATAATTACAATATTGATTTTTTTTTTATTTTTTTACAAAAACAAATAATACTCCCTCCATTCTTTTTTATAGGCCAAAATAGACAAGAGTTGGACTTTACTATTTATGAAACAATAGAATTTACAAAATTTAGGTAGTAATTAATGTGATTTCTCAAAAATACCCTTATAAAAATAATGGCCTTAGTTAATAATTAAGAGTGTGTGAGAAGGATTTAATTAAGGGCATTTTTGGAACGGAGGGAGTATAATTAAGGGGAGCATACATGCGTACTAATGATGAAGAGGTCAATTATATTTGCTATGCTTCTCTGGCCCTATTTATGTTATAGAGATATAAGATTAATTTTGATTATATTTATAGGATACTTAATTATTTACTAATTTTGTATTTATACCCTTATTAAATGTTTGAAAAAATTATGAAAAATAATATTTTTTATTAGGAGATAGAGGTGGAAACTTATTAAATTTTAAGACAAAGTTAATAAGATTTAAGGTTTTCTTTTATTCTAATAAAACATAGTAGAAGTGACTCATAAATAAAATTAGAAGAAGTACTTACACTTGTATGCCAACTTGGTATACCATCTAAAATTGCTGCTGCTCTCGAAGCCAGAAGGTTTGTCGGCTAGGACATGGAGAGGCGTAATTCCCTTTTCATCCACGGAGCCCACAATGCCCTCCTTGTACATTTGAATGATTTCAAATGCCAACTCTGTGAACATGCATACGTGAGCATGAATTAATCAATAAATAAATCATTAATTAGTTGTAAATTTAAAACAAGTCCGCCTCCTACTATATTTACCAGTTAAATTTAGAAATTTACAACTAATTGCATCTGTTTTTTTTTTTTTTAAAAAAGAATAGTTCAAAGTACTTGAAACAGAACTAGTCATTAAACCAATTAAAACAATGGTTTAAGGATGAATGATCCAATCGTAATTGAACCAGGGTCATCAACCCAATTGTGATTTAAGAAAATAATAATTAAAATATACTAAAATAATAATATATAACATTGAACCACACACGACCCAATAAAACAGAAGTTATTAAACCACACAACCGACGGAAATTTTTTACCCCTCTGCTGTTTAGAGTTAGAACTATGTCATTTCAAGCTTAGCAAAGAGAGGGAAAAAAGATAAAATTCAACCCGCTTGACCCATCCAAAAATTCATTGGTTTGACCAAACAATCTAAGTTACTCCCTTCACGTTCAAGTATAAGAGAAACTAACTAATTCATGTAGTTTAAGAAAGTTAGTTAAGTATAATAATTATGCTATAATAATTATGCTTATAATTAAAATTTAATTTGGACTAAATTATTCTGATATTTAATGAAACAAATTTATCTATTGAAAATGAGTACTAACTTTATAAGGAACAAGTTGAAAAGATATAATAAATATTTCTTGAAATTTATAATTGTATTAATAAATAAAAAATAAAAAGAAGCCGGAGTAGTTTCTTCTGGGGAGTAAAATTTACATACCAAAGTGGTCTCGGCTGATGGTGCAATGAAGGACGGTCTGGCCATCACTTGTTCTTCTGCAAGGCCCAAGAGACTGGTCGGCGCAGCGAGATTGGAGGTAAAAGAAAACATCCTTATGTCCATTTAAAGCAGCCAAGAACATAGGAGTCTCTCCTTTTTGTTCCGTTCTTCAATCAACACGTGTCCTTGACGATGATGATCAACTTCAATGATGCACTTACACATCTGGAGCGACCCTATGGATGCTGCACAATGCAACGCTGTGTCCCCTGCAACATTCTGTTGTTTCAAACTCTCCAACGCCGACGGCGTCTGCTCAATTTCACCCACCAGCTGCTCAACGGCTTCTGCATTGTTGCCGTTCGCCGCCACGTGCAATGCCGTGTCTTCATGGCTGTTGATCTGCATCTTGTGAATCTCTGAATCGTTTTCGTATGCCGCCACCACTTCACTCCATTTACCTTCTAACGTCGAATGGTATAAATTCAGCCCCGTCATCGAAACAACTTGACTGTCCATAAATGAATCAAAGTGTTCCATTTTGCAGCAATGCGACAATTACTAGCAAAACTGTCGATGTCGTGAGGTAGTAGTCACTTTGGTGCGTGGTAGCCTTTTGTACATGATTAACTACCAAACTCATGTCCCTTATGTCTGAAAAAGCACAGAGCAGGAATCTCGGGGAAGCATTTGCAATTGGGAAAATGACATTAAGTCCCAATAAAGTCATTTTATTCAAGTAAATTCCTAACAAATTTTAAACCCCTAGATCTCAACTGGTATTTTTAAATGTAAAGTCAAGTCCCAACAAATTTAGGAGATAAAGTCACAAAATATAAAAATATATCAAATTTAGGAGACAAATTTGCAATTGTGTCGTCTTGAATCTGCAACTTAATTCTAGTTTTAGCACGAACAAGAATTTTGATGATTAAATTTGAAAAGTAACATGTCATCATCTAATAACTTCCAGGAACTTTCAACTTAATTTGTCTTGTTAAATTTGTCACTCATTTTCTTAAATTTAAAACTAGGAAAAGATTACATTACATAAAAATATCAGTTAAGGATGTATTGGACTTATTTTATATTTTGAAATTTGTTAGGGCATTACCTGAATAAAATGATAATCCTTTTTGAACTTAAATGCCATTCTTCCATTACAATAATATGACCTTTGCTTGTATGGAAGGGCAAAGTATTATTATCTTTTGCTTTTTAATTAGTTTCAATTTTGTTAATTATGCTGTGGAACACGTTGTTTACCACTTCAAATGGGACGAGCAACCCAAAATATATATATATATATATATATATATATATATATATATATATATATCTCGATGTTTTTGCTCTCAACTTTGTCATCTGTTTTAAGTCAGTCAATATATAATTGGTTATATATAATCGATCATATGTACCCTGGACATATTCTGAATTTCTGACGAATAGCTGCCAACACTCAGAGGGATGGAGCCTAGAAAATTTATTTGATTTGGAGGTAAAATTTATGACATACATTAATATACTACTTCGTTTTTAAATATAAACAAATTCGTTAAATATAACAATTATGTCTAGAATTAAGAAAACTGGATTAAATTATCCTAAATTAATAAAACAAATTTGTCTCATGAAAATAAATATTGATTTTATGAGGGACAATTTTAAAAAAATGTTACAAATGTTTTTAAAATTTATAATTTTGGTAAAGAAAAAAACAAATAAACATGTGACAGTTTCTCTTATGATAAAAAATGAAGGGAGTATATTTTTTAACATTCAACATAAAAAAAAATAATGTCTTATATTTCTAAAGGAGAGAGTATATATTTTACAATATAGAACATAACTTGAATAGAAGTACATACTGTTAGATTTTTTATATTAAATATGTTTAAGGATAGTATATTCCATTATAATAGCATAAGCCATTTGGTTAGATATTTTTCAAGCTTATATATTTATAATATATATTTTAATTTTAGATGTGAGACTTCTTTTATGTTCTAACATTTTTTCTACTACTTTTTTTCCTCATTTCTTCTTGTTGCCTAAGCTTGTACTTTTCTCAAGTCTATTTAATTTCTCCTTTTCTCTTTTTTTAATCTCTTTTTTTTCATCTTTTGTTCTTTAATTTTTTTCTTTTTTCCTCCTTTTTTGTTTTATTTTTGTCATGGATCGAATGGCTCATGATACCATATATTAGATTTCTTATATTAAGTATGTTTAAAGATAATATACTCTATCAAAATAGCTTAAGCTATTTGGTTAAATACTTCCTAAGTTTATATATTTATAATTTATATTCTAATCTTTAAATGTGAGACTTCTTTTATGTTCTAACACATACCATTAACACACTATTTTAAAGATTTGTTACAGATCTAAGAGTCTATAATCCTAAACTTATTTTGATATAATGTTCTTTTCAACTTTTAAAAATAGTGTCATGTTTTGCACCAAAAAAAAATAGTGTTATGTTGGCCCTATGTATAATTAACAAATGTTAACTTTGATAGTTAGTTAACTAAAAAATCACAAAAAAAGATCCAAAAATTACATAAAAGAACCAAGACTTGATCACTTTTTGTGATTTTTTAGGTCATTGTCTATAGTTTTGGATTATTTTTTATAATTTTTTTATCTTTTGCTATAATTTATTGTCAACTAATAGTGAAAGTTAAATTTTATTAATAATAAGGATAATATTGCACCGTTTTTTAAAATTGAGGGAAATATTGTACCAAAAATTTAGAGTCCTAGACATAGATCTATAGTTTAAGGTTAATAGCCCATTAACTCTTTCTTGTTAAATGCTTTTCCTCATTTAATTACTAAAAGTGTTTGTAGTTAGCTAATTAATTGACAATCTTGAAAATCACAAAATATTAATTGTGACTCGAGTGAGAGCTTTGAGCTTTTGTCTTATGCCGGGCGAAAATCAATCCCTTTATTTACCCATGTTTCACGTGTGCTTTTTTACTTAATGGATCTTGACTCTTAAACCCCCCCCCCAATCTCTCT